GGCTCAGTCGGTTAAGCGTCTGCCTTTAACTCAGGTCATGATCCCAGGGTCCTGGGATCAAGTCCCATGTCGGGCTCCTTTCTTGGCAAGGAGCCTGCTTTTCCCTCTCCCTCTGCCACTCTCCCTGCTTGTGCTCTCTCTCTTTCTGTCTAATAAATAAAATAAAAATCTTTTTTTTAAAAAATTTCTCATTTCAATTGGTTATAATTCCTTTTTTATTTTTTTAAGATTTATTTATTTACTTTAGAAAGAGAAAGCGTATGATTGGGAGGGGCATAGGGAAGAGAGAATCCCAAGCAGACTCCCTGCTGCATGCTGATCCCAACTTGGGATTCAATCCCGGTACCCTGAGACCACAGCCTGAGCCAAAACCAAATCAGACGCCTAACCTACTGCATCACCCAGGTGCCCCTGGTGATAATTCTTTAAAAAAAGAAATTTGTTTTCCTAAGATATGGGATACCTGCCAATATCAAATTGTTTTAACTACTTACCTTTTTGCTTTTCGAGGGAGAAAAATATCTTAATGACAGCACAAAATCATGTCTAATTCGTTTTTAAAATACTCAACTACATCCTGTTCCATTTGTTTTATTTTGAATAATATATTTGCAAACATGTCATTGCTCACTTGATATTTACCTCATCAACGTTTACCTCATCATTATATGTTTTTAGCAGGCTTTATTGTTTCATGAGATTGCCTTCTTTTTTTTTTTTTTTTGACAGAGCGTAGTCTAGAAAAATGATAATGTCAGGTAGCTGGGTGGGGCAGTCAGTTGAGCATCTGCCTTCAGCTCATGTCATGGTCTCAGGGTCCTGAGATGGAGTCCTGCATCGAGCTCCCGGCTCAGTGGAGAGTCTGCTTCTTCCTTTCCCTCTCTCCCCTCTGCTCGTGAGCTTGCTCTCTCATGCTCTCTCTCAATTAAATAAAGATAAAATCTTTTTTAAAAAAAGGGAAAATGGTGATGTCTTGGCAGCACTTACACAGATAGGGACACGTGGCCTTTGAGCGAATGTGGAGCTGCAGTGCTCCCAGGGATTGCTGTCTAAATGCTTTCCTTCACAACTCCCTGCTTCTGCAGCCTGTAGTGAACTTACAGAATGTGTCCAACCTGGTTGCCTTCTTTCTCTGGAAGAAATGATGCTAATGGAGGAAAATGGTCCATTTGCACTACTCATTGTGCCAAATAAACTCTTTTTTGAAAAATGTTGAATTTCAGTCTACAAGCTGGTCTTTATAATGCCTCTAGATAAAACTGTCTTCTCAAAATGAAGTCCCACAAAGTGCTAGCACTGCAGAATTTACTATGTTCTCTTGCCCTACAAGATTACGGGGAGTAAAAATTATAAAAAATGTCACTGGAGAAAATATTTGATACCATAAGGCCTTTTAGATCTGTGAAGAGTGAGATCTTGCTTGTCTCTGAGTTCTCTGTCCTTAGATATCAAGGTGAGACATCCTCAGGCCTGGCAGAAGGACACTCCTACTTCTCAGGCGGGTTTGCCCTTTATTCCTCCCCTCTACCTGAAATGTAGTTGTGTTCTCCTGGCCCTCATTTCCACCTGTTCCCAGAGGGCCCAGTTGTAGAATTAAAAGCATCATCACTGGTTAGAAAGCCCTCTTGCTTCATTGCATCCATTTACTTTACCTTTGGAGATGGTTGGTGGATGCAGGAATTTCTAAAAGTCGGTATCTTTTTTTGAAAAGACAGAGTAATTCATCTTCAGTCCAGGATTTGGCCCCAGTCTTATCTTCCTTCGTGCCCATTTGCCTTAAATGGAAGTTCCCTGTTCAGGACGACCTGAGGGCTGGGGGTGGTGGGAGTCAGAAGGTAAACAGAGGTTGGGCCAAGACTCCCTGGCATTCTCACCAGACACCTGACATTTTTGCTCTCCTCTTGGTTCCCATAGTGCAAGCTGCCTTTCAGAAGTGAGCTCACATTCCAGCCTGTCCCTCTGGCCTGGTTCGCACCAGGGAGAGGAGGAAGGCGTTCCAAACAACAGCCTAGACGGCTCGCCGAGAAGGAATTACAGTTGGGTTTTTTGTTGTGTTTTGTTTTTTGGCAGAGAAGTGTTGAGAGGCACTGTTGCTTCTACCCTGTCATTAGTGGGTGTGTAATAGAGATATAAAATAAGAGCTGAATTAGGATAATCAGAGGCAAAGGAGAAAGGAGTAAATTTTCCACAAGTAATATTTTTCTCTTCCTGGTTATTTAACTTTGAAACAGAATTTGAAAGTAGTAATCACAGTTAATACAGTAGACAAAGGACAGAATGTGAGAACCAGACAGGAAGGTGTGATTGCCTTTATTACATTAACTGGAAACACACAGAAATATGCACCACCTTCAGGAATATACTGCTATTTCCATTATGAAAAAGCAAAGAAAATGAAAAGTCATGGGTGGACTACGGTGCCATCACCTCCTCCCCCTCGCCCCCCATCCCCCACCTTTTTGTCTTTTTAACTAATGAGTATGTATCCCTATGTGAGAGTCTCTGCATCTTTTGCTTTTCTGTGTAAGTTCCTTGAGTTGTTCTTCAGATCATTTTATGGTGTGGATATATAGTAAAGCAACCCCAAGACGGATGATTAAAGGCAACAGAAAAAACTTTAAATAGCGTGGGCAAGTGTTTTGTCTTCCTTACAACAGCTGTCTTCAAGGCTGTACTCCACAGATAAACAAATGGGGCCTATTTGTATTCATTCATTGATTCGACCAAGATGCAATGAGCACCTACAACATGCCGGGCACGTTGGCACTGGGGATACAATGACAAACAAAGTGAATGTCACTGCCCCCGTGGAGCTTACACGCCAGAGGGGAGACAGACACCAGACAAATCACCACACCTCCAAGTTGTTCTCATGGCTATGGATAAAAATACAAATAAAAATTAAAAAAAAAAAATTTTTAGATACAGTGTGAGCTGTATAAAGGGGAATTTGTCTTCTCCTGGGGTAAGGAAGACCTCCCTGAAGAATGATGATGGGAAGCTAAGGGAGCATTTTTAAGTCGGAGGAGGGAAGGGTGACACAATCTTATTTACATTTGGAGATTTATCAGGAGAATTAAAAACAAGTGTGTCTGCACATAAAGAAGTACAAAAGTGAGGGGCGCCTGGGTGGCTCCGTCAGTTAAGCATCTGCCTTCGGCTGAGATCGTGATCCCCACGGTCCTGCTCGCGCTCGTGCTCTCTTTCTCTCTCTCTCTCGAAAAAATAAATCTTTAAGAAAAGGAAGTACAAAAGTGAATCAAAAGATTCCTTTGGTTCCTCAGAATAGCTCTTGAAATGTGTTCATTACACTCCTGTTTGAAAATACTAACTAATGTATTTTCTGTACTGTCGTCTTCACCAGTGGATAATCCTGTAAGGGCCTGAGTAAACTTTGCTTTGAAGTGTTCTATCCGTTCCCTTAAACACTGCCACAGCTCCTACTGAAAAAGAGATTCAGTTACATTTTGTCCTACATACACATATAACTCTGCTTTTTGTTATTTGTCCCCATTTATTCAGCTCCTACAGAACCTTTATTGTGTAAGTTTGCGGACGGAGGACAGAAGAAGAGGCAGAACCCAAACAAATACATCCCTAATGGAAGACCGTGGCATAGAGAAGGAGAGGTGAGACTTGTAAGTCCCTTCTTGAGACTTCTCTGTGGGTGTATGATGCTGAAAGACTATGTGAATAGTTACCCATGCCACATCCTGGCTGCCAGGCTTCTGAAATAGGACCTTATAATCCAGATAATGTCACTTTAAAACTCTTCCCAATGGATATGGTGCTAAGAGAGCGATGACCCTCCAGATGGACACATAGGTGGTGGGTAGAGCTAGGTTTACCAGTTAGCTGCATGTAAAGTAAAAGAGCATTTTAAATTGCTGTAAGAAATGCACAGCTGTTTTGTATTTTTTTTAATGTCATGGTTTCTTAGAGGCTTACATTTATAATTACTCAAATTATCCTAAGTAACATTATTAAAACAAATAGCGTATTTGCTGTTGAGTTTTTCGCCTAATTCTTTTGAATGAGGTTCTTAAAAAAAAAAAAAAGAATCATACTGAACATACTGGTTCAAGTATGTCTAGGGAAGTGCCATCCAGTGGAAATGTTCTAGAGTCTGCACTGTCCAATGATAAGCACGAGCTGCATGTGGTTCCTTGAGCACTTGAGATATAGCCAGTGTGCTGGAGGGACTCCATTTTTCCTTTAATTTTAAATACCTACACGTAGCTAATGACTACCAAATGGAACAGTGCAGACGTAGAGCTTAATTCTTATATTGAGTTTGTGTTTGTCTAAAGGAAACTTCTAATTATATCAAATGCTACTAAACTATCTCTATTTTGTGTTGCCATGACTCTAAGAAATGGAATTTTTAAACCGTGCCCTTGCGGGTAAGTGATTCTTTCTTTTGCTTTCCCATAGGCTGGAATGACACTTACTTATGACCCAACCACAGCTGCTATACAGAACGGGTATGTCATTAAGATTAATGCATGATGGCTTGAGAGAAAATGTGAAGGTGGAAAATATCAGACATTTGTCCTGGGAATTACTCTTTTCTTAAAGGATGACTTAATAAAGGCTTTTGTGTTTGTTCTAGATTTTATCCTTCACCATACAGTATTGCTACAAACCGAATGATCACTCAAACTTCTCTTACACCCTATATTGCATCTCCTGTATCTGCCTACCAGGTTTGTACCTTTAGGATTCAAGAGTGTGACAACTTGTCGGCCGTGAATTGCTGCTACGTTTTTATGTGTCTTAAAATTTTGAACATTTATAATGAAACCTAAGGCAAATATTATGCAGCTTGGATACCCACTTTAGAAGAAGCTGCTTTTTATTTGACAGAGTGATTTGCTTTTATGTATAGGAGAATATAAAACAAGGGAAAACGGTTATCAGTTGTCAGTCCTTGAAATCGTAGCATTCTAGACCCGGGATGAACCCAAATGCTTCCTCCACAGCGGACTCTGCTGTTGGACATCACATGTCCCAGAAGTTGAAACTTAAAAAGAAGTGACATTAGGTAAAATACAGAAGAAGTGTGCACCGTTGCCGTTGTTTATTCATCAGCAGGAACTAAGAAAAGAGCAAGTAAACGTGCTAATAAATAAAGACGTGTCTCTCTCAGGTAACATTAAATGAGCAATGCAGTGAGATTTAAGGCCAAAAAAAAAAAAAAGGAGGCGACTCCCTGTTTAAACAGGTAATTTTGAGGAGGCTTTATGTTCAAATAAATTCCCAACTTAGAACCAAGATCTCCTTAAGCAACTTGTTATAAGATGGATTTGGTTTTATTGCAGGGTTAGCTCCCATTCTCCATGAACCCAGTGGTGTACAATGTGTGCGCAAACACATCTCTCCTCCTATGTCTGAGTACCTCTAACAGGGCTATTGCCTTGGCCCACACAGAAGCATAGTAACAGAGTTCAATCACAGAAATGTGGGAATAGAGTTCTCTTTTGTTGACTGTTGAGATCCTGTGTGACTAAACTAAACTCTTGTGTATTCTTGTTTTTAAAACGATTGAATTAGATGTTGTAGCCCTGATTTCTGGGGTTAGGGGACTACAATGTCTAATAACTGTTATTCTACTTCTGTAAGCCTCAGTTTCCTCATCTTTAAAATGGGGATAATAATAGTTTCTTTCTCATAGGCTTGTTTTAAAAACTAAATGAGACTATTTATGTAAAGAGCTCTCAGCACCGTTCCTGGCTTATCATTAGCAGTCAATAAATGTTAGCTGTGATCATGGTCATCAGGGTATGCAGGACTAGCGGGCTGATGAGAGTATATTCATTATACTTTTTTAAAATAAGGAATTGGTCAACGTAAGCAAGATCATGAAGGTGGTGCTGTCCGAAAACTTAAAAGTAGCTTCGAATAATAAGTCATAAGGTAGCTTCGTGGTTAAACGCACAAAAGCTGAAGTTGTGCAGGAGTGTTCACAGCTCCCTCCGCTTTCAGGTCTTTTCGCTGTCTTCCCCTGAGTTGTCCCTTCTTTTCTTTTCTTTTATCTCCCTAGGCTTTTATGTTACTTGGCTGGTGCTTCAATCTGCCGGCCACAGTATTCACTCATTTAATGCCTCTCTCATTATTTGGGGCTTAAAATTTCTCTATTTTCCCTGGTGCATTTTCCCTAATTAACAGTTCCCTAATGAAAGGTAGTCTTTTTTAACTCTCTGACCTTGGAAACATCTGCCATTTATGTAGATCACTGGAAAGAGGGACACGTAAGCTTATTCTCAGGCGGATGATTGTGCAGATTAATTTGGATGTGGGCCGCTGTGGCTCTTGGAGCTGTCAGTGCGTCTCCCCACCACCTCTCTTTCCCCTCTTTACTGTCAGGCAATGAGCATTTTGGCCACAGAATTGTTACATAGCATAAGAAAAATTCAGAGGCCAGTATTCATAGTAGATTTGCTATACCTAACTGGAAACAACATTTCATTTCAAAGCCCTCGTTTCTTCTCCTGGCATTCTGTATGTCCCTAAGATACATGTGGAATCATCCCATTTGCCTGACACTCACTGTGACTGAGGTTCTTAACCCCATAAATTCAGGGCCACGGAAAGGTCAGCAGATGAGCTTTAAGTAGTCTGAGAGTCTCTTACATTGTTTGCAAAATGTTGCTTGTGTGTATGCAGTTAGCTGGGGGGGGGGGGGGGGGGGGGGGGCGGCGGGGTAAGTTCTATTGCTTTCATCAGGTTTTCAAAGGGATCCGTGACCCAAAGGAGGGTAGATAACCAATGGTAAAGAATTCAGAGAACATAGATTATTATTCCCATTTTATAGTTAGGGAAAATTGAGGAATAGAAATTGACAGCAGCTGATTTGCTGCTTAAGAAAAAGAATTGGATTAGGTGTTCTAGCTCCCTAACCCCATAATGCAATAAGCTATTAGATTATTAAGACCACTGAAAGCATACAAAAAATGAGAGCATCTGGCCCCAGTTGGGGTCTCCAGGGAGCTGCTCTCCTCCCCATGATTGATTCAGTGAAGGCCTTGCGCTCATGTTGGAGTGGGCCTTTCTCCCCTAAAGCACCATATGCTCATACAATTGGATTTGAGAAATTGGCATCTGCGAGAAACCACCAGTACCCCAATGGGGAAAGGCTGCAGTCCAGATAACTGAAATGTTAACAAGGCAGAAGCACTTAACTTTGGTCTGCCTTAGGTGGCAAAGGAAACCAGAGAAAACAAGTATCGGGGCTCTGCTATCAAGGTAAATCACAATGCATTCTTCCCCCATGACTTTTCCCCATATCCTTTCTATAGAACCTCTGAAGTTAACCATAGGGGATAAGATACAGGAGGGTTTTGTGGTTAAAGAGTTAGAGACTGAAACTTATTTTTTAAAAATTAATGTAGTCTCAGGAGAGCTCTGGGCATCAAGAAATGGACTGATATTTTTTCTCTGGAGTGGCAGGCTGCACAGGCTTGCTTTCCTGCCTTGGAACCTGACTCTCGTGTCTTATTCCTCAATGGTGGAGGGTCTTCTGTGCAGGTGCCCTTTTGACTGTACATGTCAAGGTCTAGTTAAGAAGGTTTTTCATTTTCTAAATCTGATTTTCAGATTTTTATTTTCCACACTAACTAGAAATTGTTGACCGCCAGACAAGATTTCTGAAACCTAATATCCTGGTATCAAAGAGGGGTTGAATTTCGCTATTCTTTCTAAATAAGCACATACTTTAAGGATTAGTTTGTAATAAGATGTGCTGGAATTCTCATTCATCTGTATTCCTCAAGTGCCTAGTTCATACCTCAATTATCACACTTTTCACTATTTGAGTTGTTTACTTGTTTATCTCCATTCTTAGTAAATATCTTGAGGGTGGGGCCCATGTCTTACTTGCCTTTTTCTCTTGGATGCCTGGTACTCAGTAAATACTTCTTGAATGGGCAAGTGGAACTTGGTTTTAAATAATCATTTCATCCTATTCAGAGTGACCAGTTTGCCAAGAACTCTAACTGCCTTAATCTTTTTGATCACTGATAGTATTGCTTCCTTATTTTCCTTCTGTAGATTTTAACATGATTAAAAGAGCTCTAGAGAAAGAGGTAGCATTCCAATGGAAATCAATGTTTCTTTCAAAATCCTCCCTTTTCCAGGTGCAAAGTCCTTCTTGGATGCAACCTCAACCGTATATCCTACAGCACCCCGTAAGTTTTTCAACTTAATGGCTTTGTGGTTTGCAACTAGGCTGCGTATACATTTGGAAGACCATTCTCTGGGTTAAAACCTTTTGCCAAAGATGGTATGGGATTTGGGAAATTTAAAGATGGAATATGAGAATGTACAAGTTCATTATAAAACTTCCTCCCACCCTTGTCTTAAATTGGTAGTTGACATTAAATCAAATTTGCAATGGTAAGAACTTAAAATATATCATATTTGAAGTAGGGTACCATTTTCTTCTTCAAACCAATTCTGTAGAAGGCCACTCAATTGAAGTTTTAAATTTTAAAGCTTTTAAATTGCTATATTTTTAACAGTAGTTGGTATGAAACAGCTCACATTTTTTAATTGTATTCCGTTTAATGCAAATATAAAGTGTTCAAAGGGAAGCTAGAGATTTTTATCAGTTTACTTAACCTCTCTGTGGAAATTATAAATACTAAAGCAGTAACACTTTCTTTGGTAGATGTGATTTCTTTGGTGACTTGAGCATTTGTTGTACTTATGTACATATTATACTTTTTAATTCAGTTACACTTTGCATTAATAGATAGTATATTTAATGTGTTTTTCAAAGATACATAAAATCCAGTTTGTTAAATTTTAAAGCATGCATTTTAAAAGTTGAGAAATAAAGGTGGAGAACAAAATCACAAAAACAGTGCCCAACACAATGACCTGCATGATTGGCACGAGAAGGCCACAGATTTGGCCCTAAGCTTTCTAGTAACTAAGGCAAAATGGGAATTCTGATAAGCAAAAACAGTTCACGGTACTTATAAGAGAAAAACAGGTCAGTTGCTTGGGAGAAGCACACCCTTGTTGGCCTCAAGATGAGAGAGGAATTTCTCTCAGGACAGCTCCTGAAGAGGACACCATGTACTGTAAGACCATATGTATGAAACAGTACTCTAGGGACAAGTTCTAAACAGGAAGTTGCTGAGATGACTTTGAAGCAGCAGATAAAACATGTTTAGTTGACAACACAAGAGACGAGCTATCGGATGACGTATGTGTGTGTCTCTGTAAACATTCGCACATATTTTTCTCTATACGCACAGTCTTGGACAGTAGCTCCTACAGATGAATGAAAAAAAGAAGCAGGAAATTCCTTCAGCATATTCTGGGCTTCTGAATCATTTCCGTGTTACCATACACTTTTTGATGATGCACGCTAAAAATTTAAAAAAGAACAAATTTTCTATGAACTGCATTAACAACAAACAGTTTCTGACACGCATCTCTGTCTCTTTTTTGGCAACTTTTAGAGACAAAGCCAGCACATATCCCAGTTTAACATCTTTGAGGAGACAGTGGTAGTGTGTGCAGAAGGTTCCTATCCGAGGACTTGGTCCCTTTCCCCATCCAGTTTAGACTGCCTGCAACCAGAATTAAAGTGCCTGCACACCAGTCTCTGACCTCAGTTGTGTTCTGATTAGCAATAAACAACAGTGTTTGGAAGGGATAGATCAGTTGCAAAAATAACAAAAACATAGCATTAATATTGATAGGATGCGTCAGAATAATTGCACTCTCGGGTAATTGGGTGATTGCAAAAGTGAGAGGAAGGATATAATCCATAAGAATATTATATAGGATAAATTAGAGAAAATGCAAAAATCCAGAAATTAAATTTCAGTTTAGGCAATCAATGTACCATTATGCAGTCATTAAAAATGATAATAATGATGGCTATGCACTAAGTGAGGTAAATATTTATAATAGAATGTTAAGTTCAAAGCAAAAACCCAGGATACGAAATTGTTTATGTACCCTGGTTGCAACTCTACAAACATGCCAAGTGGTAACAGCCATATATTAGGGAGAGGCTAGGTTGTGGGTGATTTTTTTTTTTTTTGTCCACTCCCCCACCCCATTTTGTTTAATTATATTTAATTTTATTTTTAATGACCAGAATTTTTTTCAGATGAAATCAAAGAATCTGAAATCGGATTATTAATCATGTCTGAATTTCCTTCTCTCCCTTGGCACCAAACTGTAGCTGAAAAGTTCTGAGAAACAGTGAATGGAGAATGTGATCTTGATCCTAACAGCCTGATCTTGAATCAAATGATTATCTGTACAGAACACTTTTAAACAAGACACTGTATTTATAAATATTCAATATGGCCTATTGTTTTGTGGCTGCATCAAACATCAACTGTCATTTATTTTTTTAAAAACTAAGAAAGCATTTTTGTAACCCCAGCCAGCTGAAAACAGTTCGCATTTCCGACTATAGCTCCTCCTGCTGGACTAGCTTGCTTTTTACACTTGAGTGAAAGGAAAGGCAGGATGTTTAATGCAGTGATTTCGGTGAAATGAATGCTCTTAAAAAAGTTTTAGGAAGCATTATCCAGAAGGCTTTTAGGAAGTTGTTTATGATACCATAAGCAAGTTTGAGAGGAGGTTATTTTCGGTTTCACGTTTCTCCACAAACTAAGGCGTCTTCCTTTGCAAAAGGAATGACAGACTCTTGACTCCCTCCTTGAGTTTCTCTTACACTCTGCTTGTCTCCCAACTCCCCAGGGGGCCGTGTTAACTCCCTCGATGGAGCACACCATGTCACTACAGCCAGCGTCTATGATCAGCCCTCTGGCCCAGCAGATGAGTCATCTGTCACTAGGCAGCACCGGAACAGTAGGTGGCAAATTTATATCCTGCGTCTCAGCCAACAGAAGAGTGAATTAATGCAGCCTGTGTCTTCCCTATCAATTACAGGCTCTGTGATGTTCAGCGATTATGTCCGAGCCCCTCTCACCCCCCACATTGCCTTCCACGTGATTAATTGATGAACTAAGTATCTGTCCTCTGGGTGTCTCTCCTTTACCAGAATCTAGCAACCACACATGACCACACGTAGCCCTGGTAGCTAGTGCCATTCGTTCACACTGCAGACCTGGTGTCGGGAAGCAAAAGAAGAAGGTGATACATGGTGGTAAAGGCAGGGAATTTTTCCTCCCTTCACTTCTTTTATGGAATGTGGGGGGCACCGTATCACAGTCTTAGGATTGACTGACTTCTCCAGAGTCCAGGGGATTCCACTGGGGATTGAGGTTGAGTCTAGACCAGAGGAACTTCCAGGGCTGATATCTTATCAACGTAACGTTTAGATGGTACGGTGGCCGAAGGCTTTTAATTCAGACCATATCGATGGTGGCTGAAAAGAACAAAGGGGAGTATGTTTTCCTCTCTGACATTCAAAACCCCAGCAACAGCCCCTTGTGATGGCTCAGTCAGGTCCTTGAGATCAACAGGGAAGCCCTGCTGCCTTTGGAAGGGGAAAACTGTCCTCATCAGGAAAACAAGGGTGCATTTCCTGTTCTGCCGTCACCTGATGAAGATCCAACAAGTCATTTACTCCGTAGGTCTCCACCTATGGAAATAATTCTAGACACTAGTTCAGGGGGCTGCTGGAAAATAATGAGGTCCTTTGAGATGAGATCTCCTAAAATAGCACATCAGTGATACTGAGTGTTGAGAATGAGAAGCCGTAGCGATCTTCACGCATGTGTGTGTTTGTTGGGAAATCCAAAGAAAGGTGGGAGTTTTAGTTTGCCAAATTCAAAAAGGAGAAACAGTCACTCCGCTTTCCATATGACATACTTATTAATTAAACTTTGAGGTAGCTTGTTTACATTTCTCCTTTGAGATTTCCAAATACTTGACATCCCATCTCAAAACTCCCCAAGCACTCAGAATTTTTACATGGCTTATCATTTCCCATCCTGACCATATTCTTCTTTTCAGTACATGCCTGCGACATCAGCTATGCAAGGAGCTTATTTGCCGCAGTATACACATGTGCAGACCACGACGGTTCCCGTTGAGGTTGGTGCAGCCCATCCTATGGCCTCTCCGGCAATGAGTAGTTTCAGAAATGGGTGAATTAGATAGGGCTCAAAGAAAAATCAATTAGAAGTCAAATGTTTGCATAAAGAATTGAGTTTAGAGAGCATATAGAGCTAGGGTTATTTTCGACTCTGAAATATAATTCTCTGCATACAGATTAGTGGAGCAGTATCCAAGCCACACCCCCAAAACTCCCAGAACTATCTTCCAAGCTTGTAGCATATTTCATACCCTTCAAGAATCTATCTTGTCTCCTGGAAAGGGATACTTACACGCAAATTAGGATAAAGCTGGAGTTTGCAGTCCTGAGTACCAAAGATTATGTTAATAATAATAACTGCAAGAAGAAATCAGTTGTAATTAAAATAGTTGAAAACACTGATATTTCAGAATTGTGAACAGGGATGAAGAACAGACCATACCTTTTTTTATAGAGGCTGTTCGGATAGCTAAATAACTCTTAGTTCTTGTTATGCAAGATGCAGATATGATGCTAATGGAAGAAGACTGACACTTGAGTTAAGATTGGACAGAAAGCAGAGAGATAGAGATCCCATATGATTTTACTTATATGTGGAATTTAGGAGACAAAACAGATGAACGTAGGGGAAGGGAGGGAAAAAACAGAGTGGGAGACAAACCATAAGACACTCTTAACTATGGGAAACAAACTGAGGGTTGTTGGAGGGGAGGTAGATGGGGGATAGGATAATTGGGTGATGGACATTAAGGAGGGCACTCTATATAATGAGCACTGGGTGCTATATGCAACTGATGAATCACTAAATTCTACCCCTAAAACTAATAATACACAACATGTTAACTAAATTGAATTTAAATAAAAAAATTTTTTTAAAATTCCAAGGAAATTCATCATCCCAATCAATCCTATCCACTAGGCAGATCCCATAGGTTCCAAGTGCAGAAACAGCCCCAGGACTGTGGTTGGATTATTTGGGGGCATTCTTGTGTTTTGTTTTCTGCTGATTGATTTAAATTTGTGTACTTATTGACAATCACAGTTACCAGAACCCACAATCCCTTATCTGCAGTTCTGAAACACACAGTAAAATCTGAAAATAAAAATTCTCTTTATAACTGCTTTAGCAAAAACCTGACCTGTGGCAAAACGCAACCGGAACTGATGTAAGACAAAATCTTAGCCCACTTACTGTGCATATTTATATCTTTCAGTGTAGACCTGCTCATGTGTTTGGTGATGAGGTGTAGCTCTAGGCCCCACTGGGTATATTCTGTGATAAAAGGCATATGCCTACCATTTTTCAGATTCTAAAATCCGAACATACTGAATTCCAAGTCACATCTGGCTCCAAGGGATCAGATATTTGTTTGATAAATTGTAGCTTGACATAAAGAGACAACTCCTAAAAGTTGGGGTGGGAGGTTCTTTGGGTCTGTAAGATATCTTAACTCCTTAGGGAAATCATTAACCTTGAAAACCCTACATAGTATTAAGAAAATCACTTTTAAGGAGCACTTGTATTTTAAGATGTGAAACTCAGATGGGAGGAGCAGAGTTGGGATTTCATTGCTCATGTCTCATCTGCTCTGCTTTGTTGTAGGAAGCGAGTGGTCAGCAGCAGGTGGCCGTCGAGACGTCTAATGACCATTCACCATATACCTTTCAACCTAATAAGTAACTGTGAGGTATGAGGGAAACATCTTTGTAACCGTAGGGCTCAGTTCAAGGAAAGTCTATGATTCTTTTATCATAATGGTACTCAGAATAGCTCAGATTTGGTCACACCACCTTAATCGTGGCCAAAGAATTCAGTGTTACTGAAATGTTAAAATCAGTATCTTGTGGATTTGCAGATAATCCAAAAAGAACAGTGCCTTGTTGAGGTCACATGTATAGTTACTTTCTCATCCTCCTTACCCCTCCCACCCTAAAAATCTGTAACAAATCAGGACACCAGGTATCAAATTTGTCCTACAATACATGTATCCAAATTTATAATGCTTTCATGCTCACAAGCTGAAGGAAATACAGCATAAGATTTTGCTTCTTCTGGTATTACAAGAGTAGCAATATCTTGACTATGAATTTAATGTCAGTATCCTTCGATCCAGAGCTCTGGTTGCTCTGGTGAAAGTAGGCTGCAGGTCCCAAGGTGGAGTCAAGGCATAGAAACTACCCTCAGTTCTAACTACTTTATTGGTCTCCCACCAGTGATGAGCACCATCTTGCCTTTGTCAAACATGCATACCACTGAAATGAGAAGGAGGCTACAAAATAGTGTGGTGTGTTATACCAACTGCACAAAAGCATTTATCTTTTGTTTTTCTCTTCCAGATGTACAGAAGGGCGTTCTTACATGAAGAAGGGTGTGAAGGCTGAACAATCATGGATTTTTCTGATCAATTGTGCTTTAGGAAATTATTGACAGTTTTGCACAGGTTCTTGAAAACGTTATTTATAATGAAATCAACTAAAACTATTTTTGCTATAAGTTCTATAAGGTGCATAAAACCCTTAAATTCATCTAGTAGCTGTTCCCCCGAACAGGTTTATTTTAGTAAAAAAAAAAAACAAAAAACAAAAACAAAACAAAAGATTTTTATCAAATGTTATGATGCAAAAAAAAAAAAAAAAAAAGGAAAAAAGAAAAAAAAGTAAGAAAAAAAGAAAAGAAAAAGAAAACTTCAATTTTCTGGGTATGCACAAAGACCATGAAGACTTATCCAAGTGCATGACCGGATTTTTGTGGTTTTTGTCCATTTTGTGTTTAATTTGCGTTTTCTTCCGCTGTATGTAATGGGCTCTGACGTTGAAGTAGTCCAACTTCCCCCCTGGTGTTCCGTGCTCTAGAGTGTGAGTGTCGCTGTATTCAGTGTTGCCCTCCACGTCTCTCTTCTTAGCTTTTCCATTTTTCTTTCAGCGTAGTGTGAAATGTCTTCTCCTTTTCTATGAATTCCAATTTGCCTTAACTCCTTTGATGCTGTAGCTGTTTCAGTACAAGTTAGTTCAAACTAATGATGTAGAATGCTTTGACCAAGTGAGCTGGTCTGTTATGCCTTGTAAAACAGCAGCATAGGGCTTTTAAAAGGTAGTCAATAAAAGTTGCTGAAATTTTGGCTTTTTTAAATATGTAGTAGGTGTTTTTAATGATTTTTCACATAATGTGTAAGGTAGTGAAATGCAAGAAGGGAAAAATGTTTTGTGTGAAACACATTTTCTGACTGGGGAACTTTTACTAGGGTAACTTGTTTGTAAGGCTGTATGCCAACAGTTTCCTCCGATAGTTTGACTGATTTAGGATATCTGCTGTATGATGCAATGTAAAGTCTTTTTTGCCTTTTTTCAGGAAAAAAAAAAAACTAACTCGATGTTCTAGATTTAGTGTAGGTAGCGTTGGGGCTGGGGGTGGGGGGCGGGGGCGGGGAGTCACCGAATGTTTTGTCCTTCCTTTATACAATGATAGTGCTTTAGACTGAGAATTACGCCTGAGATCTGGCAAACCGAAAAAACGTTGCTATTGCAACTAAATGGCAAAAGCTAAAAGTATAAGGATTTTATCTTCAAACATAAGCTGAGGTAGGAATAGAAGCAAAATGATTGGCTACTAGCTCTCGCTATTACATAAATTTGAGAAATCAAAATTACTTGGCACTTTTAAAGGTAACTTCACCAAAGACCGAAGAGCCAGTAACCAGTAGCTCCAACTTCTCTCAGCATCGTATCTTCTGTGCTCTTTATTTTTGCCGGACCAGTTTGCGGTTAGGAGAATGTGCCTTTTTTGTACCTTTGCATTTAGGTTTTATAATTTTAATTGATGTATGGACACACACCAACAAACAAAAAAGCATGAAGGAAGATTTGGATCCAAGCAGTGCCACACTTTACGTCATCACTACAAGTGTTAAGTGTAAAGAGAAACCAATTTTGAAACTATGAAATTCCTGATTTCATAAATACACAGTTATTTCTACTTTAGTACATAGAAGATAATTCACTGTTATTAAAGCTCTTTTATTAAGACAATTGCATACGTTTGAAAAGCAATGGTAAATTAAGTTGTCTTCCAAAACTGTGTACTTGTCTGGTCAACTGTGCGTGATCAGTTATCTACCTCAGAGTCTGTTTTCTTTTGTGCTGGGACAGGTTGCTGGCCCTCCCTGTTTCCACAGACCAAATCCTCCTAGCTCAGGAGCTAGGGCTAAGCAGTTATTTCTTTCGAGTATTTTTTAGTTCTTAAATTTTATGCTTGTATTTGATTATAGATGTCAGTGACATTTCATAGTTTCAAAAGTCCTTGCTGCTCTGAGAAGTGTAGATTCTAGTGAAAATTACATAGTCCTAAGAGAAATGTGTTTTGTTTTTGTTTTTGTTTCCTTTTTTAAAGTTGTGGTATTATTGGTTCTATGCTCCCTGGAATATTACTGCTTTGTGAAAGTCCAGACCGAACGCAGCACCCTCCTTGTACCTAGTACATTTATAAACCTGGGTCTCTCACTACTTGATATTTTTGCATTAGTTAAGACAGAAATTTGATAGCTCGGTTAGAGGGGAGGGGAAATCTGCTGCTAGATATGTCTGAACTAAGTGCCATACTCGTCTGGGTAAGATTTGGGAAACATAACCTCTGTACATAAAATAAAAAAAAAAAATAAAAAAAAATCAGTTAAACATCACATAGTAGACAGCCATTAAATTATAAAAAAAAATAATTTATGAAGAAAGACCTTTTGTACAGATTGAAAAAAAAAGATTTTCATAGAGATATCTATATGATCAAGAGAGTTAATTTTTTATTTTTGTTTTACTAGTGCCACAGACTTGCCAGTGGTAACTTATTTGTCCGGTTCAAGATAACTCTGTAGTTCTCCTTCCTAGGACTTGTTGTTAAACGCCAAAAGACATTTTTGAACTGTACATTTGATCAGATTGTTAGCTTTTTCTGTTTTATTTCTTTTGAAAACCTTTGAATAAAAAACATCTGAAATTTTATTTTTCCTGTCAGTTTCTTTTAAGTGGGTTAAATGTATATCAGAATTTCATGCATTTCATTTCTGATCTCTTTCTTCAGCTCAGGCAGTTTGGCTTAAAAGTGAGTTGAAAATTATTTCAGATTCACTGTGTACTCAGAATACATTTCCTCGAGAAGAACTGGAAAAACCTTTCTACCTCCTCCTCCTTTGGTTATTTACATCTGTGTATAGGAACCAGAGACATCAACCTTCAGCTGACCCCGCTTCATGCGGGCCAAAGCCCACTTTTGGTCTGTTCCAAGAGGCCAGAGGGCCAGACCCCGCTCCTCCCTCTCCTACCGCTCCCCTTTGCGGTGCTACTTGTCCCGGACCAGCAAGAGAACAGAATAAAACCGGTCCCAGCCATGTTAAGCAAGCGCATGGGTAAGGATTTCAGGCTGATCTTATCCGTGCCTTGATGACGTGAGCCTCCTTTGGTGACCTCGTTTAGCTGTTTCCCATAGGAGGCTCTGGTTCAGCATTCCCGGGGGAGAGAGAGCTCCTCTCTCTGCCACACTGATGTGCTTTACGAGAGGCACTTAGTGCAGGAAATTGAGTCCTTGACCCAAGGCGAATTAAGTGGTACAGTGTAGTCATACAGAATTCTTTTTCTGCTACCCAAGGGCTCTGTCACAGTGGTGAGAGGAGTAGGCAAGAAGAACCCACACCCCCCCCATTTCTGTACACCTCCCGGCCATGTGGGCCATGGGGGGCTGTGAAGGACAGAAGTGGGGTTTAGAGCAGGTAACTTGGCCAGGGCCAAGAAAGCCCCGGTTCTGAATGGCTCATTGAGAAAAGGAAACATGGCCCTCTGATGATAACTCGTGCTGGAGAGAGAAGGATGTCGGGGCAGGAGGGTAATGTGGCCTCACCGAGACACGCACAGGCTGCTGAGGAAGGAAGCGGGGTGGTCTCCTGTCCCAGCCTCACACTGTCCCAGCGCTCCTTCATAGGACCCGTGAGCAAAGGCAGGAAAGATGCGCCATCCGGGCTGCCAAGCATCTTCGGTTTTGTTAGTCTTGGCTTCTGTTGTATTTTAGGAAGGCTTTCTGTCACTGGAGTCCTGGGACATCCAGTGGCTGCCTTTACAGGGAAACTGATGAACACTTTTTCAAAGCGCTGTTTCTGTGCAGGAGCGACAAGCACACTCAGGTGGTGGTGCTTTGGGGAGAGCTACCGCTCACGCGTAGAGGAACCACGGTGCCCGGTGGAAGGCGTGTGCTGCTCAGGTCTTCCCCAGGAGCCAGGATTGTATCTTTGTCTGAGATCGGCGGGGCCCCCGCCTCTGAGGTGGGATTTTTGTGTTGGGAGGGAGGGCAGTCGCTCCCTGGCGTGCATGTATCCCCCCCTCTCTCTTGGCTCGGTGAGGTTGGCCGGCAACACTAGGCAAACCCACTGGAGCCCGGATTCCACTTCTTGAATTTCCCAAACGCTGGTGTGAAATTTGCTGGTAGAAAGGCAGTTCCTCCCAGCCTGCGTGGGGCTCAAACAAGGCTCAGATCTGACCGACCTCTTCATTCCACTAGAGCTAAAAAGGAAAAGATCCAGCGACCTTGGAGTAAAGGTCACGGACCTGTCACCAGCCCCTCTCCTCCCGATACACACAGCTTCAGAAGGATGGCAAGTAGGTGAGGAGGGAGGAAACTCCGAGCTCAGGGTTTAAGAAAAGCTGGGCACTTTCTTCCCTCAAATAGCAATGTGATGAGACAACCACCCCTCTGTCCTCGCAGAACTCGGCCCCCACCCGCGGCCGTGCCAGAGGGAGGCGGGCGCCCACCGGTCCCAGCAGGCAGTTCTTGGCACAGCCGAGAGCCACTGCCCGTGCCCAGCCCTCCGTGTGGGACAAGCTCGGAGAAGCATCGGAATTTCAACCCTGCCCGGGGGCTCCAGAGCGTCTCACTCCGGATCTTGGTAGGGCCGGAGCTTTTAGCTTGGGCTGCTAGAGGGAGGGTTACGTTGCCCTTCACCTTGAGCGGCGAGTTCTCGGGGCGGAGACCCGGCCTGCACGGGCACAGGGTAGGGCCTTGGAGGGCGACTGCGGCTGCAGGCACATGCCTGGAGGTCAAGGGGTCCCGAGTTGGGGGGTGATTGTAAGAAGTGATACGGAACCACCGTTGCCTGATGCTGGCAGCCCCTCCTTCCTCATCAAGGGCATTGCTGCTCAGACTCGGGAAGTAACAAATGGGACTTTTAAGGCTCGAGGAAGCTGGGGGCAGGGGACGAAGCCAGAAGCCTTGCCAGACCTCATGACTTGGAGCGGCAAGAAAGCGGTGGCAGGTCTCTGGGCTGCTCAGAATTGAAAACAGGTGGCACTGGAGTCAATACAAACGTTAATGCTATTATTCATTTAATTTTAAATGTGACTCTGTGAGGCTGAGATTTGATCTAAGTTCTTCCACTGCTCATTTGCACAAGATATGGATCATAAACGAGACTGCAGGTATCTCCTACCATTTAGTATCCCTGAATCCACTTTCTCTGCTTGAATACCTCCAGGGACAAGGCACTTTCCACCTCACCTGGCATTCCAAATCTTTTTGGAACAGCTCTCAAACTGGCTTAAAAAAGTCAAATTGCATCTCTGTAATTTCTACCTGTCAGCCTCAGTTCTGCCCACTGAGATGCTGCAGAATAAGTCGGTCATTCCCATTCTTGGAAACACAGAAGTATATTGACAGAACATAAGAGCGATTACCAGGAATTAAAGAGGACAGGAGGATGTGATTATAAAGGGACAGCACAAGGGAGTTTTTTGAGGGTGATGAAGCTATTCTATATCCTGATTGTGGTGGTTACACAAACACATGTGCTAAAATTCATAGACCTGTACACCCCCCAAAAATATCTTTTGATGTTTATCCACTTGTAAAATAAAGTATTTTTTTAAAAAAATGAGAAGTCGGTCATTCTTCAAATGTGGAAAACTGCTGGCTCCATGATTCTGTGGGTTGAACATTCTTGTGGCTTTAACATTCAGCTCTGGCTCCACACTCAGGACCATCAGCTCACCCTCTCGATGCATGACAGGTGACTCAGGTCAAAGCCTAGAACCCCAGGAGTAGCCCCGGCCTCACCTAACTCCCCTGCTCAGCCCTATCCTTTTTTTTTTTTTTTTTAAAGATTTTTTATTTATCTGAGAGAGAGAATGGGAGACAGAGCATGAGAGGGGGAGGATCAGAGGGAGAAGCAGACTCCCTGCTGAGCAGGGAGTCTGATGCGGGACTCGATCCCGGGACTCCAGGATCATGACCTGAGCTGAAGGCAGTTGCTTAACCAACTGAGCCACCCGGGCGCCCCCAGCCCTATCCTTCTATTACAGGTGAGATGGTTTCCATTTTGACTTCTCAGACACACCACAGTTCTTAAAGTTTGTAGCAAATTGAAATCCTTATGTTGTTTACTTTTTGGTCACGATAATTATAATAAAGATATGGAATGGAATGGAATATTATTTAGTCATTTTTAAAAGAAGACATTTTAATGGCATGAAAAACATAATATAAATGATAAGTGCTAGGTACAGAACTGTAGATATAGTGTGTTCATAATTAGGAAGCAATATTTAAGTATAAAAGACGAGAAGGTGTTCCAAAATGCTTAGCTGTGGGTGGAAGGATATTGGGAAGTTTATATTTGCTCCTTTATACTTTTCCAAATTTTTCCAGTTTTATACCATGAAAACATTTTATAATCAGGGGGAAAAAAGCTTTAACAGAGAATGTTGTCAGGTCATCCTGAAGTCTCCATGTTTATTATATTCCAATTCAGCATGTTTAATTTTTTGCAAAATAAAAGATACTGCAGCAGACATCAGAAGACACAAAAATGACATGAGTGGTCCCGGTCCTCAAGGGACATTCTTATGGGAGGCACAAGTGTCTGAATGACAATATAGCAAGGAGAAGTAACAAAAGCATGACCTAAATAAAGAGCTTTGGGGGTTTGGTGAGGGGCCAAGACGTCCTCAACAGTCTCTCCTGATATTCTTGTCATTTCCACATTACTAACCGGTTGGTTCCGTTTTTACTGATCAGAATTCACTCCGAAGCAGCCATTTCCCTCACCAGTTCCTGTGCCTTCTGAAAGATGGAATTGGCAGGCAGACAAATGAAGTTTTTGGTAGCTCTGCTGTTGCCAGAATGAGACTTGGAACAGATGTCCAAAGACTTGATGTTCCTTTGTCACTCCTGCTCTGAAAATACTGGAATGTGTACAAAGTATTGTTTTGGTTCGGTTTGGTTTAATCCAGCCGGGTGTAGGATACTTTTTAAATGGTGTCATTTTGACTTTGTTTACCCTCTGTCAGATGTTCTACACCTGCCAGATTGCGGATTTGCAAACACCTGTGTTGTTTTCTGACCCCCTCCAACCCCCACTAGATCTTGAAAACTCTTGTATTTATTACTAAGTCTAGGCAGGAATCCCATTATATCTGTTTTGTTACACACTGTGGTTTGACACATGACTGAGACCATGAATATTGTTTCTGGTCCTCTGGCCTCTTATTTTCTTACTTTTTTTTTTTTAAAGATTTTATTTATTTATTCATGAGAGACAGAGAGACAGAGGCAGAGGGAGAAGCAGGCT